TGGGATTTTGGGAAAAAATTCCAGTGTGAGGGTGCCTGGAAGAAGAGTCTGACTGAGATAGGATTTTGGGAAAAAATTCCAGTGTGAGGAACCTGACTGAGACAGGATTTTGGGAAAAAATTCCAGTGTGAAGGTGGGGAGGCCCTGGAACAGAATTCCCAGAAAAGCTGTGGCTGCCCCTGGATCCCTGGAAGTGTCCAAGGCAAGGTTGGAGCACCTTGGGATTGTGGAAGGTTTCTGCCCATGGAACTGGATAATCTTTAATGATATTCAGATTAAAATGGCTGCTTTGTTGTTAATTAGAGTTGCTCAGTTAATTTTAATTATAATGGTTCTAATTACAAAAGCCTGTGGGTTGCTATCAGCTGATAACACCAGGTGTCACTCTCAGCCGAGGAATTGGGAATTCTTTTGGAAAATGGGAATAAATGAAGTTAAAATGGGACTAAAACTGGACTAAAATGGGGTCCAAATGGGATTAAAATGGGGCTAAAATTATCTTAAAGCAATTAAAACCTCCCAAATTAAAGTCATTAGGCTCCTCTCATGCTCTAATTAATATATCAGAGATATTTTATATTAATTGGCATTTACAGCCATTTTTTTAAATCAGTGTTTATCAGGTAGATTAAAGGAGCAGATTAAAGGATTTTTTTAAACTAAAATACGAAGTTTTCAGCAGTTAATTCCTTTATATTGATAGATTTTAGGATACAACAACATCTTTCCAAAGGGTTTGTTAGAAATCCCAAGGAAATAATCCTTTGGAATGGCAAGGAACAGCCGGCCTGGCACAGAAATTCCAGATTTAAAGTTCACACTGACATCTGGTGGCAAAAAGCTTCCTCTTGGAAAGCTCCTTTGATCCCAAAAATCCCTTTAATAATACAAAGATATTCCCAAGAAGATAACCAGAGAATATTTTCTACAGCACTGGAATTTAGTGTTGGAAAACAAATCCAACACAGCTGTGGAAAGCAGGAAAATTTAAATCCACCTGAAAATCCGGAGGTTTCCAGGTTTAAATGGAATTCCCACAGCTCCTAAGCCTGGCCTGGCTGAGATCTGTGCCCACCTTTATCCCAGGAATTATTTGGCTGAAGAATCCTGGGAAATGTTTTACCTTATCTGGGTGGCGGCTTGGATGATGGTTCTTTTCAGAAGATCCCGGATATCCCGGATCAGATCCGCTTCCTAAAGAAAAACAGGGACACTTCTGTGGATCCAGGGCAGGAAACACAGTCCTGAGGAGCAATTTGTGGATAAATCCTTACATTTCCTTATCTACTCTCGCTTTGTTAGGGTAAAACATGGAATTTTGGAGTCACCGGATCCCGAGGGAACTCAGCTCTAAACCTGTGGAGGCTGAAAAACCTGGAATATTTCAAAAATTCTATGAATTCCATGAAAAAGTCTCAGTGTTATGGAAGGAATTCTTCCCTGGCACAGATTCCCACAGAAGCTGTGGCTGCTCCATCCCCGGAATGTCCAAGGCCAGGTTGGACAGGGCTTGGAGCAACCTGGGGCAGTGGGAATAGTGGGAAGAGGTGGGAATTGACGATTTTTTAAAGGTCCCATCCATCCCAAACCATTCCAGGATTCCATGATCCCATCAGATTAAATGGAATAAATTAATTCCTTTCTCAGTTTTGAGATAGGGAAAAATCAGGAATATCCCCATGCCTGGAACCAGATTAATCAGGATGGACTTGATGAGCTTTAGAGTCTTTGCCAACCTACAATTTCCCCAATTCCCTGAATTTTGTAACAATTCCCACATGGAAACATCCTACACCAACTCTTCCCTGTTTATATTTTTAACTGGAATAACCTCTTAAATATTGATTATAAATCAGAAATTA